TCTCTCTCGCCCGCGGGTTATGAATGTGTATGAGATTAGTTACTTCTGATGGTCACTTTACATAGCAGCATCTGCCATCAGTGTGTGAATGGCTAGGTGTGACCTGCCGTGCAAAAATAGCTTTGAGTAGTCAGAAGACTAGAAAAGCCCTCCAAGTTTAATTCCATTTACAATTAAAGAATTGATTATGAAAGCATCTAGTCCATGCGTTGAACTTGAGGTAAAGTCCATCTGAAAATCTAGTAATCACTCTTTGTAAGAAGAGCCGTGGAAATAAAAAAGAATGGAGGTAGGGGGGAGGAGAAGAAGGATAGGTGGATGTAGCAGTTTGTGCAGAAGAAAATGGGAAGGATGAGAGATGGGAAAACAGGGCAAGAGGAGGAGGAAAGTCACAGAGCAAGATAGAGAAATTACCCCCCAGGCACTCTTCAATTTTTGCCCTTATGATGGGAGCATATTTCCCCTGTGCTGTAGCCATCATCACTCTCTCTCCCACATTCATTGTCATACTCCCTCTGCCCCTCACTTCACCACTTTCTTGCTGCATTTCTGCTACATTGTCCTCCTCTGTTGCTCTTCCCTCCTCCTCTTAGGCACTTGTCAGCCTCCTTCACAAACACCTTATCTTATTTCCAGAGGTTGCATGGGAGTGCAAATGCATGTCTTTGCAAAAAATTTGAAACCAAGGCCCAAATGCACCTGAAATATATTTTAAAAAGTATGCCACTATCTTTTGTTTTTTTATTCGTATTCCTTTACATTTCTTTAACAGTAGGCTCATTCGGTGTGCAGTTCTGTTTAAATGTCCCATCTTTGTCATCACTCAATATTTCTGGACAACTAGCTAGCAACTTAGCTATGGCTAACCAGGCTGCTAGAGAAGTGTGTGTGGTGTGTGTGTGTGTGTGAGAGCAGGCAGTGGAAAAATGAAAATAGATCATTCATGGCTAAAAGCTGAGAAGAGCAAATCAGTCCTTCTGCCAGTTTCCCAGCATGCACGTCTTTCTGGCTTGCAAAGAAGGAAGCACCCGCCAACACACAGCTGAGCCAATCCTCTATTATTTCCTTGCTCATATTTCTATATTGTACTATTGTCTGTCCCGTTCCCCATTATTGGTGTGCAGCTCCAGAAGTTAATGGCATCTTTGAAGTCTACTGTACTGGCACATATGGACTGATCCCAGGCTAATGAAAAGTTCTCATTGTTTGACTATACAGTTCTAAAAAGGCTTTATGCAGTTCACCTTCTGGTTTTCTTAAAACATATCGCACCCTGACCAAGCTGTAGCTTCGTTCATTGTATCTACTGTCAAACAAAGCCAGGGTTCAGTCACACAACCATCTGCCTTGCAGCGTTACCCTGTTTCAGTAACAGCCAGGACTGTAGCCGCCTTTCCCAAAACATAGTTCAGTATTTTCTCCTTAAATAAAACCCCTGTCACAGTTATCATTCATGACATTTTCTCCTTTTCAGAGAAATAGTCGGATGGTGTGTGGTATATACTCGTTTTCTAGAGGGTTTGATGCGAAACTTGATGCCACTCTCTAGTCTGCTAAATGCTAAAGGTGAAGTAAAAATGGCGGTTTAGTTTTATGAGATACTGTAGAAGATAGATACATGCAACGAAAACATCTTTTCTTACACTTTGTTCTTTTTTTTACTTTATTATAGTTTTCTTTCTTCAGGCTATAAAGACATGCTAGTTATTACAGACTGTTTTTAGACAAAGTTATGCTAGTTGGCTGCTAGCTGAAGTTTCATGTTTACTTTATAGACATGAAATTGGTTTTAATGCTCTTATATTTCACAAAATCATAAACCATTACTCCTGGGCCTATAATGCTTTCATGAATATTCATGATTCTTATTATATTATCAGAGGGAATGCTCCTGGGTTTCAAGGTATTTCTCTTCCTGCTGAACTTCTTTCAGATATTTTCTTAAGCAAATCTATCTCCAGGCAGGCTGAAAACATACATATCGTTTCTTGTATTCGAGCTGCTGAATTGCCAGTATTCCACTGCCGTGAAACAGACTTTGACCCATGGCTCACCGAAACGGCAGAGAGCGGGCAGACTCAGCTGTTAGCAAAGTGGGTCAGAGCAGCTGGCATGATCACATGAATATTTAAAATGAAAGAGCTCCAGACTGAAGCCTCTGTAACGTCAAGTTGATGCCAAGCAGTGTTAAGCAATGACAGCATGTTGTACCGCTCAAACTCCCAACTGAGCAGCTTCGGAATTTTTTTCCTACAAAAGGGACGCGGGGAAGTTTTTTCTAAAGAGGAGTGAAAATATAAAGTGGAGAAAAATAAGAATGTGGATTAGAGAGTAAAACCAAGGAGCTCTAATGGCGTTATTTAAAGTGTTAAATGTGTTAATTACAATATTACTGTAAATTGTACTCTCTAAAAAGTGAGATGACGGATGGATCAGTGGATGGCAAAAAAATAAAGAACGGAAACAATATTTTAATGAACTCAAAACAGACACAACAAGTAGACTGACAGCTTTAAAAAAAAAAAATGAAACAATGAAAGGAGGAGAGCGTAACGAGGGAGGGACATGACTGCATGATGGATAGAAGTAGGTCAGGAGGAGAGACTGAGTGGGAGACCAGGAGCGATGGATGGAGGGATCTCTATTATCTTCTCTGCTGTCTGTCTGCACATGGGTGGCTTTTCGATGTGTGCGCACACATCCATCTGCTCAGGAGCTTGTGTGATTGACAGCTCCTAGCCCGCAGCCTGCTCCAGAGCCAAAGAGTTCATAATAAACAGGACATGTTTTAATTTACTCCTCCAGGCAGAGCAGCTCTGCTCACTTTGCTTATCTTCATAAACATGGACACACACATGCAAGTACTACACACTGCTTAAGATATCTTCCTTAATCATGTCATATCTATTCAGTTAGAGCTCTATTTGATCTGAAATTTGAATTATCTCACTTAACTTTGCAAAGAGCTACAAACTTAATTGAGCATTTTTCTATATTTCAGAAGAGAATAAAATAAGAAGTTGTGGGCGTATTCACAGAAATGGTCTCTCACCTTCTGGCCTCGGGTTGACTTTTCCCATGACAGCGGTTGACTGACATTTGAGAGCCCCTGTTGCTAGGAGACACACTGCATCCCAGTCCCGTAAAGCGTGCAAATGAGACGCTTGGCCCCCATCCACCCAGGTGCCACGGCTGTCTGAAATCTGTCCACAGTGGGACGTTGACTTGGAAAGGCCCGTCGCCACGGCTACACCAATGACACGGCTAGCTGTGGGTGAGCGTCCTGGGTGGCAGCTCTCATTCAGCCAATCAAGCCAAACAGGCCACGCTCTATTTAATGATTATCCCAGCATCTGTCCCCCTATCTCTCATCTCTGTGTGAAAGCTGGTGAACAAGAGTGCAAAAACACTCCCAGGAACAGCGAGTCATATCCAGCAAAGCCGACTCTCATCTCGTAATTTCATCTCAATATAATCAAATCTAGAAATGAAGGGAAATACTTGAGTGCATATAAACCGGCTTTGTGCGTTACATTCATTACATAGTTAGCGATGTGAATGTAGAGCGCAGTTATTAAAGGATGTGATTACAGCAGCAGCAATTAATGCCAGTCCAATAAAATAGATGATTACCACATTTGAAATGTAATCTTGGTTGTTATCCAGTGCTAAAAAAGAAAGAAAGGCAATACAAAGAAAGGCTTAATCCTGTTTCCATTCTGTTTACTTTTACCTACCACAAACAGAGATAAGGTTTCCATTGTTTTACATTCTTGCTGCAGCTTGGAAAGGTGTGTTGATTTCATTTCCTGCATTTGTTTTGTTCAGAAGATCCAATCCTCTCCTGCACTTTTATCCTTTGGTTTCTGCCTGGTCACCTGGATATTACGAATCATTTTTTTCATACAGCTGGTACTGAAAACAGGGGATTGTGTCTGTAATTGATAGCAGAGACATTTGTGATTATGCTTGGATGCTTGCCGCCGCTTTTTCTTCCCCGCATTAAGATGCAGGTGATCAATAAAAACATTGTTTTCCTCTGCTGTAAATCATGTGAATGCTCAGAGGCTCCCTGTGGGCATGGATGGAGGAAAGAGAGAAAGACAGCAAGCAGTGCTGGGCTGATGAATATAACGATAGAAGGGAGAGAAGAGTATGAGGTGCTAAACTGGAGAGCAGAGCAGAAACTGAAGAGACGCAGAGAGAGGGAAAGAATGAAAGGCTAATATTGCTGATATATCAGCACAGCAGCCATTCAGATGAATGAGAAGGAAGCCGCGTGTCTCCTTATTGCAGCCTGCAGGATGAATGCTTATTATTGCTTTGTTTGTATGTGGTTTAGTAACAACTGCAGTACGGAATCAAAATAATGTTAATCAGACTAAGACAAAAATATTACTTTCACTTTCATTTTAGCTGAAGACTTGGTGAGAAGTGAGAAAGCAATCTGGACATCAGTCTAGAAGTTATTGTTCTTTTTGATGTGTCGTACCCATTCATGTTTCTCAACTAAACCTTCAAGTCCATTATCCCCTGCTGGTCTCACACATCGAAAGAACACAGTGCAAAAACATCATGTCAGTTCATTACAATTGTACCATGCCCAGAATATTGTTTTAAGGTTTATATCTATTTTTTGAATGTCCTTAGTACAATTCAAGTTTCTTTCCCACATTTTTTCACATTTGCCTGTTTAAAAAGTTTGACATCTCTGCTGCTTTAAGAAAATAGAGGAGTTATTGTCGGAGATCGGCAGCATTTACTCATCAACTCTCAGTTATCTGTTTAATGAGACGATTGATTTGATAACATTCATATTTGAATTCATTTGAACACAATGCATTCATACCAGGTGTCAAGATACATGACCTGAATGCTGTTTATTTTTGTGCCTCCCAGGTGAGACCGGTGCAGCCCTGTCACGCCCACAGCGCCCCCTTTCGGCCCGGACGGCCCACCATGCCCCGGCGCCTATGAAAGGGTACCATGTCAGCCGTAGCATGTCTCAGCACTCCTCCGGTGGTGGTGGAGGAGGGCCCTGCCACTGCCCACCTGAGGAATGTGATGGCCCAGGAAGGGACTACTACCAAGGTCATGATGGCCACTTTTACCCTCCAGGAGGTCCGGCTGAGGCCCTGGCGCTGGAAAGGCACCATTCCCACTCCCACAGCCATTCTGGAGGGGGAACTTTCCCCCGTTCCTACCCCAGTCAGCACCCACCTCTACAGTCATTTGACTCCTGTGAGGAGTGTCTGTCCTCAGGCCATGGAGGGAAGGGGCATCGCATTCCCCCCACCATAATGGACCAGTTTGAGAAGCAGGTGCCCTTTCATCCCGATGGCTTCCACACCCTGCAGTACCAGCGCACCACTAGTGGGGGTGCCGAGCAACGTAGCGAAAGCCCCTCAAGGATCCGCCACCTGGTCAACTCAGTGCAGCGCCTATTCGCCAAGTCCCATTCCTTGGAGGCTCCATCCAAACGCGAGTACAATGGCACAAGAGGGGGCGGGGACTACCGAGTCGAGAGAGGGGGAGGCCACAGGAGTGGAGGGGAGGACGGAGGAGGCCACTACTCGGGACACCAGTCTCGCTCTACCAGGAGGAACAAATCTCGAGAACGTAGCAAGAGCGGAGACTCGCGGCATGAATCAGGTAGACGCCACCGCAGCAGGACGGCTGGCTGGTGGAGCTCTGATGACAACCTTGACAGCGACAGCAGCTACTTGGTCAGTGGAGGAAGACGCGGGTACCCCAGTGGACACGAGAGCCTTGATGCAGCAATCCAGGAGCTCACCATGAAGAGGCCCAAAGACCGCGGGGGTGGTCCCATGCCTGGGGAGTGCATGGCTGTACCACTATGGCTCTGGCCGGAGGTGAAGGAGGGGGACACCATAGCCATCATGGCCACTCTATGAAAAGGAGCACCTGGTCAGCCATGACAGTGAGTCAGGCCAGAGAGGTGTACCCTTCTTCCAGGGGGGCAAGCTACGAGAAAGCCCTCGTGCCCGTTGAGAGTAAGCTTAAGGAGAGGACCTTCCATTACCTCCAGGTGAGTACACCTGCTGTTTAAACCAGTGTGTGTGTGTGTGTGTGTGTGTGTGTGTGTGTGTGTGTGTGTGTGTGTGTGTGTGTGTGTGTGTGTGTGTGTGTGTGCGTGTTTTGGGGAAGGTATTTTTTTCTGGAGAGTTTGTGGATGACTTTGTTTGCTGAACAGTGTTGACCTCTAGCAAAACGGAGCAATACTACATTGCACTGGACATTGTGCATGAGCATTCTGATGATCCCTTCACTCACCTTGTTCTTTATCAAAACATTTCTTCTAGGAGTCAAGACTCAATTCCAGTGATAACAGGTTTTCGGTATGTGCAAGGGTTCATCTCCATGAATACGATCTGAAGTCATGCTAAAACACTTCTTATAATTTAAGGTTACCGTCATTAGTCATCAATTTTCAACATTTTTTCATGTTTTGGATTATATTCATTTGATCACATGATTACTGTGCATGCATTAAGCCCAAGCAGCTAATGTAGTGAAAACTCAGGGTTCAGATATATTTAAAGAACAAAAAGCTTTTTTTTTAGCATTCTTGAAAAATGAAACCCTAAAGCAAACGCACTGTATTTGAGATACTAAGAAATCTTTTTAAGAAAGGCCAAAAAAATAAAAGACGTGGAGCAAAAAAAATCACCACAGGCTTCAACAATTTAAATGATCACCTGAGGGACCCCATTAACTGAACAAGAAAACATTTTCTCTGCTTTGATGTTTTTGCAATAGTGTTTCTGTAACTTTCACACAAATAAAGCCTTTGAATTTAAGTTGAATTGAAATTGAAAACGATTATGGTCAACCACACAGAGATATTTAATGACTTTCTCAGCAGTCCGTCTCTCAGTTCCTGTCCCCATGGTATTCCTCCAAAAGCAACACCTGCAATTTTTCTGTTTGGCCTGCTCTCATTTGGACACATGAATTGCGTAAAATGAAAAGCTAGAGGCTGTTACAGTGTACTGAAAAGAAAATCAGCTGAAAGTGCGCACACACATAAACACACCTGCACAGATCTCCAGCTGTGCCGAGGTGGAGCTGTCACGCAGGCTATGTTTCTACGGAAACAGCAGGTAGCCACAGGAGTCCCTGGTGTTTTTCCAACTCTCATCCTTTAGACACAGCTGAGGTCTGCTGATAGAAGAGACTGAGAGAGCACAATTGTGTGTGTGTGTGTGTGTGTGTTAGTGTTTTCAAAGTACAATCCCAGCAAAAATTGCCTCTGTGCCTGAGGCTTCCACCACATTCACACCTTTAGGACACCTTGCCCATTGCAGCTGTTATATGTTCTCCAGTGTCACTTGCAGTTTTGTGAGAATGGAGGAGATAACATGTCGAGTGAATTTTGTGCTGAGGTTAGATCTGCTGCAGTCGGCCCAGATTGATCCTTGGTTCAGAGCAGGAGCTTCCTGTAGCTTGCAGATACAGAGCTGTTCAGGTCTCTTCTACTTTACTAGACCTTTGGGCATACAATAGCACAGGCGCCATATTAAAGCAACAGCTCCAAGCTCTATGACAAAAAAGTGAAGCCAGAGCATGAAATAAATCAAACGTTCTACAGCTGACTTTAAAACAGATAGAAATATTTGATTTACTAACATGTCGACTTTATTTAACACAGAGTCTGTAGGGGGTGTAGGTGATGAACCCTCAGAGGAGGATTACCAAACTCCACATTCTCTAAGGGCCCACTCACACTAGGCAATCCATACCGTGCCCAAGCACGCTTCACCCCTAAAGTCCAATTCGTTTATAATGTGAGTGCTCCAATCCGTGATCAAGCACGGTACACTTCCTTGGCCATGGCACGCTTCGGAGAGGTGTGCTTCAGCACGGTACAGTTCATGCATGAGCACGAGCACGAGCACGCGGGTACACAATGTTGACAGCCTTTATTATGAAGAAATCCCACGTGTTATGTCTGTATCTTACTAAAATGACTCAAAATAAGCTACAAAGTCAGTGTCCGCTTGAGGCTATCTTCAGGAGCCCAAGAGCATACACACCGCAGCCAAAAAAAGCTATTTTTACTGCATAAAATAACATGTTTACAGCCCAAAAAACAAAATAACTCTGATTAGTTATTGTCATCACTGGCACACGCAGTACAGGGGCTGAATTTATTTTAAACATCCCGTCATGATTTTAGGAACAATATGTGTTAGGAACAATAATAGTTCGGTGCATAGCTGACATGATTGAAAGGTGCATGGACGCGACGTAAGAGTGTGTCGTAAGGCTTAAAACCAAACTCTCCCGCTCTCAGGCTGTCGCTACGTTGACTGAGAGTAATTAGAAGACATAATTTCCAGCACGGCGGCTGATACCGAAGGGTCTCCGGAACACCCCCTTTTAAACCCCCGAGCAAAACCAGACTGATGTTGAAAAGCCATGTGCCGAAACTGTTTGGCTTGGAAAGTGGGATTGAGGGGGAAGCAGGAAGAAGGAAGAAGGAGAAACAAATAGAGCAACAGAGTTCACACAAACATAACCTAACAAAGACAAATATAGTATTCATAGTAAGCTACAAGACAAGCTGATGAAAGATGGAGGCCATTCTTTTTTTCCTTGTCTGACTTAAGTATTATCTTCATGAACAGCTTACAAGTGAAAGCCAGTTTTTTTTTAAGTTCAGTCAAGGACATGAGCAAAGTTCTGAAAGTTTTGTCCACCCTAAAAGTCACAGATATTTTTTTTAAAGTAACAAGGTCATGATCTTGTATTTTTTGCACATGTAAACATTGTGATTCTGTTGAAGAACAAAAGAGAAGCCATTGAAATAGAGTGCATTTTCCTTAAAGCTACTAATTAGCATTTTGTATCATTAAACATGAACAGTATGGCTAAGCTAACTAGCAAGTCTACTTTGTGGCGTCACATTAGTTTGCAACAATATAGCACAAAAAAAAGGGAAGCAGCTCAAAGATAAAACCAAAACATTAGCCAAGGTGAAGGTGAAGCTTTACAAGTCTGAACTATCATGGTCAGAGGCAAAGAGACATGCTAGGTTTCCTCCCCTTGCGTCAACGGCAATCACAATGTGCTGCATCAGAACCTAGCGCTTTCTATTCCCTTACCCTTTCCCTCTTGGCCTGAGTTTGTAAGATAAGGAATGATAAAAAAAAAGGAAATATAGCGAGAGTGAAATGAAGACAGAAAAAGCGAGGGAGCCCTAGACAAAGATCGAGGGGGTTAAAGAGCAAGGTAGAGGGATGCAGAGATAGCAAAGCTGGCTAAGGGATAGAAAGGAGATAAAGAGGTGATGGTAGCCAAGGGGCAAAGCAAGACGGGGAGAAAAAAGAGCAGTAGGAGAAAATGAGCGAGATAGTGGAAGGCCAATGGGGATCGGGAGATTAGGTTGAATGATCTTTTAAGTGATGACCTTAAAAACACACACTCAACTGGATGCTAAACCCTGGGGCCTTGGCTATGTGTGTGTATGTCGGTGTGTGTGTGTGTGTAGGTGTTTTCATTTGATTTCGCTCTAGTGTGGGACTACACACCTCACAGGATTTGCAAAAATGCTGTGAAGCTTTCATCTTCACTGGAAAAGAGGTGGGATGTACACTCACGAACACAAATATTTACTCATTATACAGAGTGCTCCTCCACAATATGGCCGGCTCTTTGTACAAGTATTGGTATCGTTTCCTGCAAACAAATCTAATCTGCAGCTGTTCATATATTTTTCATGTGTACGTCAGATTCAGTGACTATGCATAAGGAGAAGCGTCAACTTATAGGTCCGTATGAAAATCAACTAACTACAGTTTCTGTTAACTACACAGGAATGTAAAGCATCGTCGTAGTTTTAATTTACATGCAGACATCTGAGGAGTGATGGGATGATATCTTAAACCCCCCAGTCTGAGCCTACCAGTGGATGCTGGGGTTGGTGGTGGGGCTGAGCAAGAGTGCAGTACTGGTGACTAAGCTCGCAGGCATCGCCTTATTTTCAGCACACACAAAAAAAAAACATTACAGAATCCAACACTGCACTACCTGCCAAGCACAATTTAACACCATAAGGAACTAGATAAATCAAATTGTTGGACTCGTTGGAGTTGGGCAAACATTTATCAGGTGGCTAGAAATAAAACATGCCGATAATGTCGCTCGCCGTGTGTGGCATAAGCTACATGCTAAATGCTAATTCCCATGTTCACCACAGCTATAACTTTTTGGTAGTAATAATATAAATGTTTTTGAGGCCATTTTGTGTCAGTAGGTTGACTGTTATCTGGCTTGCTGTTATTTCAGTGGTCAGGCTCCCCACAAATTATGGATTTATTTTTAAAAAACCAATGCAATTAAGAGTTTTTTCAGGCAGGGAAAGCCAGAGTGATCAAATCTGAGAAATCATGGAACATTTTTTTTGAACAAGTTGACAACAGCATTTTTATTAGATATATGAAAGCTTTGAAAGCCTTCTGCCCTTATCATGAAATTCATACATTTTACATGACAGCCTAAGTGGGAACGTGTCCATCTTTTTTTTTTTTTCATTTCGCTGCTCCTTGTCAACCATCGACACGCTGTCCACCTCCTTAGCCCCTTATCTCGACTCTGTTCCTATGTCATATTGTTTTCTCATCAGACTCTCATTTGCCTGCTCTGCTGTCTCACTGCTTTCTGTCTGACTGTTTTTTTTTTTGACAACCTGTGCATCTGTCTGCCTACATTTTTGTGAGTCCATCCACCATGCTTTTCTACCTGGCCTCCTGTGTGCGTGTTGTTTTATTTGCTCTCCGTCTGTTGGCTTTTAGCTTACGCTGTTTTTCCTTCTCTGTGTCAGTGTTTCTCCAGCTGTCAGAGTTTCTCTCTTTCTGTAAGTCCCTTTGTCCCTTTCTCTTTTTCTTTTACATTATCTTTCTTGTATGCAAACATGTGCATGTGTGTGTGTGAGTGGGTGTGTGTGTGTGTGTGTGCGCGCACGTTTGTGTGATTGCTTTCAAAGTGTACATGAGCATGCTTGAGCTATCAACGCTGGTATGTTTGTTTTGGGGTGCACGTGTGCCATGACTGTGAGTCTGATTCATCCCTCTCTCCTTCTGTTGGTGGTCTGAAATATTTTTCGTAGATGGAACATATTTCTATTTTGAGAAGTCCTGGATATTGAGAGAAACATCTCAATATCTGAACACTAATTCATTCACATTGGAAGTTATTTCTTTTTCCTTAACGGTAGATGTAGAGGAAGAATGCAAACTTACTTTTAACACATTCTAACCCATTCAATTCTTACTACAATAAAGTTAACCATGTACTACATGGTTGTGCACTAATACTCGCTGTACTGAATGATGCAGTTGCAAAGTTAGACTTATGGTGCTGCCTATACTAATCAGGACTCTGTGAATGTTGTTGTGATTGTGTCTCAGGTCCCCTCAGAAGACTGGGGCGGTGGATATGGCGGTGGTAACGACGGTAGCGGAGGGGAGATTCCGTGTCGTCGCATGAGGAGCGGCAGCTACATCAAGGCCATGGGCGATGATGACAGCGCTGACTCAGACACCAGTCCAAAAGCCTCTCCTAAATCAACCCTGATAGCACAGAGGGACGCTTTCAGACGGTCTATCAGCATGGATCAAAGGTCTAATGTCACACATTTTGTGTTAATATAAATGCTGGTAGACTTGACCAAAAAAATACAAGTGGGCAATACTGGACCGTGAAAGATAGCTTTATCAAGATTACTCATATACACATACATATATACACACAAAAAAATGCACGTTTCATTCAAAAGCAGTCTTTTGTCTGTAAGTTACAAATCTGTTTATTCATATCTGCCTTAAAAGGAAGAATGTGTGACATTTTACACAGAACGCAAGTATATTCTCTGTAAATGTCTCTCTGAGTCATGACTGTCTACAATGAGTGAGAAGCGTGAGTCCCTCCAGCTGTACTGTTGTCAGAGCGGTGTTTACGTCATGTTTACACGCACCTATAAAGATGTTGTCGAGGACTAGAGAAAAGAAAAATAACTTCACCTACTCGCTGCTTATTTGGATGTCACGTGCCATTCCATGTCAATTCATGTGCAATATTAGCTCTGAGTTAACCAAAGTGTGCTAACATTAGCCTGCTAACACAACATTTGCAGGCCACAGGCAATTGGAGCTTGAGCAAAAGGAAACTGTTTCTGCAGCTTGCACTTAATGATACTTAAATATGGTGCGGTCTAATTCATAAATCCTTCGTGCATAGACAAGTGGAGACGGGTTGGAGGTGTGCCGCTGGAGGAGAGCGGAGGCTTCAGAATATCGGCGGTGTTGCCAAACAGCAGTTTGTTTTGGTTTCATGCTGGTGCTCAAGGGTGACATCTACTGGATCAAAAAGTCACACATTATTCCTTTAAACTGATGATTTATTCCAAAAAGTGTCATATGATAATATAACACAAAGACATGTTAACCGATTCGCGTATGTTTTTTATATACCTAGGAAAAAATCCTATAGGCCTATGTATCCCCAAAAAACTAATTTACAATTTATTTGTACCTGAAGACAACACTGTAATTAAGCATTGCATTTCAATACATTTATGTGAATCTGTATTAGATACTTTAGTGCACTGCCCAATGTACAATGTAAAAAAAGGCAACTTGCTTGTGTAACCCATGGTTACTAATGCTATTATCATGAGAGTCCCCTCACATTAATTTGACAGTATATAGAGGTTTAATTGAAGTGGCTAATAATCCATTGCTGTTCTCAGTATCTACATACGGGTTCTGGGGTTAGACTTATGTATGCTTATGTATTGCATAAACAGAATCACCTTGCCTTAACCAATTTAACTGAAATCTGAAGTAGCACATTTGCCTGTTTTCTGTTCAAATCATGATAACTCAAATCATTGTTGGGTAAATCTAGCAATAGTCACCAGCATTTCCTCAATTATTGTTATTTCCAAACAACTCTAAATCATAATTTCATCACAGAAGGCAAGCCTCAATTCATCCGATTTGGAATTGGGAAAGAAGTGCTAATGATGTTTGGTGCTCATCTGAGTTAAAGTTGTATTCCCCTCAACGTGTTCAGAAAACACCTGCAATAACCCGAGGCACTCCAGGCAGCTAAAATGTGAAACGCCAAGAGCAAAAACTCCTTCACTCTTCCCTTTTCCCCTATGGATACAAATCTTGGGAAAAATATCCCTATTTCTCACAACATAACTCGATCACTTGACATTAGCAGACATACATTAGAGAAATGCTGAGAAACCCTGATGACATCATCAGGAGGATATTATATAGGTGTTTAAAGGCTGAACAAAATGATGTAACATCATTAGAGTGCCCCTCAATAACATTCAAATGATCATACCAGAGATGATATTGACTTATTTACCAACACAGCACAGTCATATATCAATTACAGAAAAGGAGACAGCAGTGCATACATTCAGGGAATATACTGGAACTGGTGGTTTGTTATTGGACTCCGGGTTTTCACATTAACTACAATTCTTTGTCGAAATCATGGAAAACACATTCACTTCAGTGTTCATAATGATTTCAAATAGGATTTTAAAAAATTCAAAGTGGGGATGCAACATTCAAATGGACTCCAGCTGGCAGGGAAAATGACTCAGTGACATGTCGTGTGATAGTTGTTGGTGTTCTGGGTGTTGCTGAATGTTATGAACAGGACCAAAATAGCACGACTGAAGATTGTGATCCATTCGGAGGGACAAAGTATCCATGTGATCATGCAGTTAAGTTGTGACAGACCAAAAGATGAATCTGGACTGCTGATACGAGAACAAAGGACCTGAAAAGAAATAAATATTGACAATATTTTATTGATTGACAGTATTGACTCAAAGACATTTCTGGGGAGGTTTGAAATTTGTTTTTTTTAAAAAGGGGTTTCCTTCTATACATGCAAAAACATCTAGTGTCCTCCAAAAACACTGTTGTTACATCCCTTTTTATTTTAAAACATAACCACTGTAACTGTTTTGTGATTGGATGGATATGTCACATATTTCTGGACGGTATCATCTGACAGTTGTGTCTACACATTGCAGAAGCTCCAATTGAGTCCTGTGAGTTGGTACTCAAAAAGCAAACTTAACTATAACAGATTTGGTTTCATCCAGTTTTAGCCATTTCTTTCTAGCCTCAAACACTTTTTTGGCTCCTCCTTCCATGCTGGAACATATTACCCCCTCATCTACTGTAATATATCCAGAGAAAAGGTTTTTTGTATCCATAGTTTTTCCTTAACATACATTGGAAAACAGAGTATATAGTTGAACCTGTCATGTGTAACACAACATAGTTTATGATTAATAACCATTATTTTTTGGGGCCTTGGTGGCGCAGTGGCGCAGTGGTTAGTGTGCGAACCCCATGTATGGAGGCTGTAGTCCTCCAGGCGGGTGGCCCGGGCTCGAGTCCGACCTGTGGCTCCTTTCCCGCATGTCGTTCCCCACTCTCTCTCCCTGATTTTCGACTCTATCCACTGTCCCATCTCTCGAATAAAGGCACAAAAAGCCCCCCCAAAAAAATCATAAAAAAATTAACCATTATTTTACACCCACAGCATACATTATAATCCTTTTGATATAGCAGGCAAAAAAAAAGTTTTAACCAGCACAATAATGTATTATTTGCTTACTTCAGGTACTCATGTAAGCAGTGTACAGACTCCTACCCAAACAGCCGGACTACACCAAAAACCCACACCCGTTCCCGTAGCTACACCCGCTCTCTGACCAGCTCACAGGTAACAAAAACAAAAAAGGTGTTCAGTTGCATTAATTAGGTCTTTCTACGGTATTGTGTTCCTCTCACCTTCTCTCTGATCTTCTAGTTGGGCGACACGCTGAACCGTCAGTTTGAGGCGGTCTGCGAGACCATGTTCGGGGAGGTGGAGTCTCAAGCCGTGGAGGCTCTGGATCTTCCAGGCGTGTTCCGCACTCGCAGCCACAGCTACGTCCGCGCCATCCAGGCCGGCTGCTCCCAGGACGACGACTGCCTCTCTGTCTTCTCCATGTCGGGCCCCCAGGGAAGCATTAAGAGCGGGGCCGGTGAGTGTCTGCGGTTTATGTGTGTGTGTGTGTGTGTGTGTGTGTGTGTGAGCGTGAGAGAGAGAGAGAGAGAGACAAAACAATGTGTGGTTTTCTCATTTGCAGTGTCATGGTGGTGGGAGACACAGCAGGACGGCAGGGGGAAAGGAATTTCATGACAGCTTTTGTTTGCGTACCTCGACAAAGCATGTTTATGAACTTACACACACACACATCCTGTCGACTTGTCAGTGTCAGAGCTGCATTGCACTGAGAGCATCCATTTTTCATTTCTAAACTTCTTCTTTTTTTTTTCCTTCCATTTCCCTTCAATCTCTGTGATCTGACTGTTTCCACCAAAGCCCTCTGCTCCTCTGCAGCTCTGTCTTTGTGTTTGTATATATATATGTGTGTGTGTGTGTGTGTGTACGCTATGAGCTTACACCGTTGCTGTTGGTGCGTCATGTTATTTTGAATGCTCTTTGTTCTCTAGCTTTCCTCTGTATCTCATCTCTCCCACCATCATCCCTTGTGTGCTCGCTGGTTTCTGAGACTCCGTATTAGGCGCAGAGTGCTCGTGATTATGACGATGGCTCAGTGTCTCCAGCTGCCTCTGTCACTCTGACAACAGTTTGTTATTTTCTCGTTAAGTCTCACTCTTGTGTCCTCTAATCTCCTCTTTACCTAAATCTTGTGTGTGTGTGTGTGGGGGGGGGGGTGTTCTTGCATTTACTGTTCCTTTTTTTGTTTGCTTTGTCTTTGCACTCTACTACTCAAGCCTTTTAAACACCTGCAGTACTACTGTGCACTGCAGAGCCACTCCAGTGTCCTAGCTTAAAACAGCATATTCCCATGATGGTTCTAAATCCTGTAAAGCGTCCACATGCATCAACGACACACAACTCAAACATACATCATCAGCCTTCATACATCCATTCTCCCAAACTGGAGCTAATAACTTCTAGACCAGGATCGTTATACATTGTGACAGACAGCTACTTTCTGGTGATGTTGCTTGGAAAGAAATGCATTAAGAGTTGATCCTTTTTTTTTTCTCCTAAAATAAACTGTGTGTATGTGAGTATATATACGTACAGATGAAAGAAGCTCAGAGGGATAAGGAAGAGACAGGATCTGCGCTCCTCATTTTAATATTTCTCTCAGGAAATTGCTTTATCTTCTTAAGACGCAGAGTTTAGTTCGCTCAGGGGAAGAGTTTTTTTTTTTTTTTTTCACTTCTGTCGTGTCTGTCTTCACTCCATCATTTTACTCCCTGGGTTGCAGTGAAATTTAAAGTAAAAGCTGATTTTTTTTTGTGAAAATTAGAAGTGCTATTGAGTCTTGTTTATGAATATTTCTGTTACATATTTCATTTGCATTATTTTTTAATGATTTTTATGTTTTCTGTCTTTCTCTCTCAACAAATTTCCCTCTTTTACTGTTTTGCTTTCACTTTCTACTAACAGTCTGTCCCTTTTGTAAGTATCCCCTTCCCCTGATCCCTGCTCTTGTGGTGACCATTTCGCTTTTAACAGTCCACTATGCCTCTGTCTTCCTTTCTCCTGCTCTTCTGACACTTCAGTCTTTCCTTATCGTAAAGGTGCTCCTCCCCCACTCCCTCCTCGCATGTCCAAGTCTTCACTCTCGGTACGAGCCCAGAGTAGCACCGAGTCCACCCAGGATGCCTACTTCCAGAGCAGCGGGCCGTTGGTCTCAAGTTCAGGCCCCGGGCGCCCTAAGCAGCACAGCAACTCAGTGGACCTGGGCAGCTCCGACGGCCCCTCAGGTCGCTCATCCAGGGGAGGATACTACACCTCCACCGGCCCTGGGCGTTCAAGACAGCACAGTAACTCCGCAGAGAGCCTTGACGGGGTCAGGGGTTCCCGGGAGCTGGTACCCTACGCCGGGGGTCAGGGGATCGGAGTGAGGGCCAAGCACAGCAGCTCGGCTGACAGTCTATTGGAGGGACCACCAAGGCCGGCCAGGGAGAGGGACGGCAGGGCTGGCGGCAGCCTGGGGAAGTCCACGTCTCTGCCTCAGAACAGCATGGTGCTGAGTAAAGCTGGGGGGCAGGACGACGGGCGTGGTGGGAGAAAGTGGAGGCCGTCCATAGCCGTGCAGGTGCAGGAAGATTTCTCTCTTTTATGGGCTGTGTCTGAAACCGCATGCTTCGTTCTATTCACACTCAAAGTGACATCACAGCCAAGCTAGCCGACTCTTAAAATAAAAGTTCCGTTCTGAAATACATTTTACATGTTGCCAAATAACATTAAAATGACTACGTAGTTGTGGGGCGCTGGTGGCGCAGTGGTTGGTGCGCGCACCCCATGTATGGAGGCTGTAGTCCTTCAAGCGGGTGGTCCGGGTTCGAATCCGATCTGTGGCTCCTTTCCCGCATGTCATTCCCTACTCTCTCTCCCTAATTTCTGACTCTCCTATCTCTCCATTAAAGGCCCAAAAAAGCCCAAAGCCCGATAAGGGGTTAATAAATGAGCTTTACAGTGGTGGTGGTAGTATTTGACAGAGACAGCTTCTCCCACGGTTTATAGTACCTGCAATTGAACGTGTCTAAGACTAAGGACCTGATCATGGACTTCAGGTGCAAGCCCCCTGCTCCTCAGACCACTACCATTAACAGAACGGTGATGGAAGTGGTCAAATCATGAGTATCTGGGAAGTTTGATTGATGATAAACTGAGCTTTAATCCCTTCTGCCGCCGTAAAATGGCTAAATTTAATGTTGACAGATCTCTTATGACTATGTTTCATAGATCCTATATGGAATCAGTTTTTTGTGTGATCTGCTGGTATGGAAACCTCAGTGTAAAGGCCAAAACATCACTTTCAAAAAGTGTGAAGGTCAGTGGCAAAATCATAGGTGCCCAACAAAGCAGGCTCACTGACCTCTACAATTAACATCCTGTCAATCAGTGCTCACCCCCTTCACTCCGAGTTTCAGGTACTCCCTTCTGGTTCTCGTTTTAGATTTCACCTCTTAATCCAACAGATACGGGTACTCTTTTGTCCCAAGAGCCATTTCCCTCCTTAATTCAAGTCAGGGGGGGAGATAGTTGTGCTACTCAGTGATGCTGATGCTGTTACTGTGTTTCAGTTTGTGTCTGACCTCGGCTGTCTCTCTTTGGTCAGTTTCTGTTGGAAACATTGTCTGCAGTTACAGGCTGTATACAGGCTGATCTTATTGTGGTTTTGTATTGCACAGTATGTATCTGACTGTGTTGGAATTGTGCTTTTTTTTTTTTAGATCTTATTACCAGTGATGTATATTTAACAGTGAGCTGCTAATATTCCATTTTACACTTTATGTTAATGTAAGCTGCTAAGAGCCTCAATCAAATGATCGCTGTTGTTTCATAATCAGAATCAGAAATACTCTATCAATCCCAGAGGGAAATCGGTAAATGATTCTCGAATGATCTCGGTTATTTCTTGAAGGCTGATCTATTCAGTGCATCTTGCATTTTTACCGTGTTGGCTTGTTGGATGTACTTTTGTGTTTTTTTTTTTTTGTCTTTTTGCCGTCTTGTTCTGCCTTGCCGCAAAACCAATCGCCCTTCAGGGACAAATAAAGTTGAGTTGAGCTTACCTGCCCCTCCTTAAAGTTGAATAATCTGCCTGACAACACTTATAACGTTTAATAATCAAGGTTAATCATGTTGATAAGTGAGCACTGGACATGGCGCTGTCTATGCAAAGGTAAACCACGCTCCTTTTGTTGTTTGCACCTTCATGGCAGTTCCACTCTCTTCAAATCTAAGCCCTCAAAAAATGATTTATTTGGGGGGAAATGTCTAACTTCTTCTTTAATTCTAGCTATGTATAGTGTGTATAGGATGTGTATCAGAATACCTCTGTGCTCTTACGGTGGTTCTTTGTGATTTCTTCTATTTAGGTGGACAGCTCAGAGACTCTGTCAGATTCAGACGCAGAGGGCAAAGCACTCACAGAGGTCCACTCTATAGGAGTCCAAGTGGAGGATGACAAAAGGTAAACAAAAAAACAAGTCATGGAAGAAGATGAAGAAGTAAAAGTATTTATCTTTGAAATGTCGTCCCAACTTTAACTGTTATTTTGCCTGACATTTAACTCGGCTTAATTAGGGAGATAAAATTGCAAAATAAGATGCGTGTTTGTTTGCCACTTTATCGTTGCCCCAAAAACATGTGGCTTCATCAAGACCTTTTGGGCTTTGCACAGAAAATTATGTGAATAATATTAATATATAATTTTGAAAAGCCTTCATCTCCTGGGCATCCAACAGTGCAGCCACCTAGAGTTGATTTCTAGGCGAGATCCTATTATTTCATTTAACATTTCATCAGACATCACAGCTTGAACTCAGTAACAGTTGTTGTTTTTTTTCCAAGAATGTGTTTTTCGACTGTAACCATGGCTACTGCAAAGCCCTTCTCCTAATTACATCCGGCTTTGCTTACTGGTCAGATTCACACAAATCGTATTCTACCGAACCACCAGCAGTGTGTGAACATGCACCTGTTAAGAATGTCCCCCCCCCCCCCGATCTTCTGCAATCATCAACGTCTGCGGAGAAAACAGTAGGGCGAGGACAGAAAAAAATAAATGACTCACACCTCACACCTCATCAGACAGCTCAGACAGATGGGGGAGGTGGGGGACTAACTTGTTATAGAGTAAACACTCATCGCTGTGTCCATCGACATGACATTTGCACACACTGGTGCGTCATATGCCAGAGGATTTAGCGGGGCTTATCACAGCCGCGTGAGTAGTAGTGACTGCAGTGACAGCATGAATATCCCTGCTCCAATAGGATTGTGTACTAAATATAAGGAAGAAAATGTGATACTCTGTGCGACTGGATGGCTAAAGGCCTGCTGTGACACCCTGTGTTGCAGACGGGCTCGTTTCAAGCGCTCCAACAGTGTGACAGCGAGCGTGCAGGCCGACCTGGACCCAGAGGGCTTCCCAGGGCTCAGCATCGCAGTGCCAACACAAGACAAGAGTCTGCAGTTTGGCTGTTCCTTCCAAAGGCACTCTTCAGAGCCGGAGTCAGCTAGCCAGTACGCAGAGTGTCAGCGCACTGTCCACACACAAGGACAGTGGGCCTACAGGGAGGTAGGTCTTCACTGATGTGGTATACTACAGGTAGTATTCTTGGGAGCTAAATTCAGTGTGACAACCAAACTGCATTGTGATCAATATCAGTCAAAGGTGTAAAGTACATTTTGTTCTCCCCTATGAGTTTTCCAGTCTGGTGGTGAATTTTCTCTAAACTTCGTAGCCCTTGCTTTCTCTGGTGGGAGTGGGACACTGGTGCGGGCCCAGGGGTGTCTCAAAGTTATCCTGGAAGGACAAACACAAAAATGGCAAGCGATATATTGGAGAGGGGAGAAAAACTAAGAAATTGTGGAGAGCCAAAACATGCTTTCTGAGCTAAATAATGCACCAAAAATAATTAACTAAACCACTGCTGCCAAGCAGTTATACTCTGAGAGACTGGCAATGGAAAACTAATACACAGAAAGTTATTTGTTGGTGTTTAATATACACACACACACACACACACACACACACACACACACACACACACACACACACACACACACACACACACACACACACACACACACACACACACACACACACACACACACACAACTAGAGAAAACACAGAGAGACCCTCTCGCTACCTCTGAAGGTGAGATAATGAATCAGCACAGAGCAATGGAGACTCAGAGTTTATATAAACTCCCCACACCTGAGCTTAATCAAAACCAATCAGTCACACACGCACACCTGACCGCAGTGATTTGATTCGCTCACCAATCTCACTGAGCAGAAAGAGTGAGTGCCCTCACATACACGTCTTACCATGTTTCTGATCAAACTAAGAAACAATGCATGAGCGTGAACCCTGGAAAAATAATGTGTGTGACAAAACACATCATATGATACAAACAGAGCAGACAGCTGGCTGAATAAACTGCTCCATTGAGCCATAATTGGTCAAAAACTCTTTGGGTTTCTTTGGTTTGACATTTTTATGACATTTTCATGAACAACTTTTTGGCATGAGAAGAACAATACCATCTCATTTTACATACTTTATTCAATTCTGGCTTACACTCAGTTATTGAGAGACATGCTTCTCACCCTCGTAGGTGAGAATTACACACATGCACAAACAGGATCTTTGGACTTGCATTAGGCCTGGCACAAACTAGAAGATTTTTCAAATCTTAAACGATTTTGAAAATGTGAGAGACCCCACACATGACGACAGATTTTAACAGTTCAGTGTGGGGTGTGCAACGAGACGACCAACTCAGCACACCACACACTAACCGATTCATTCACCAACAACCAGAGTCTCGACTAAATGTGTAATTGGGTAGATCCAAAACATTTAGGTCCAACTCCTTTCCTTGTCAGTTGGATTGTGATTTGTCTTACAGGACACGTTGTAAAAACACTTGTGTTGTGCCACAAATCAACAAGCTGGTCCTGAATATATGACAGCCATCTAACTTTATGCTTTGTGTTTGCTGTTGTTGCCATGGTAATATTTGTTGTGCTCCTGCTTCAGTCAGCTTGCTTCCCTATTGGCTATTGTTCTGTTCCACGTGACAATTCAGAGAGTCCGTGCTCGGGCCGTACTTGGTGTTCTTCCCAGACAACAGGATTTCTGATCGTAAATTTTGAATATTACGATTTTAATATTTACGATTTCAAATCTGGGCGGCCCTGATTGCCTTTCCCGAGCAGATAGGGGAGTTTAAAAATCATTCTTAACACACCTCACACCAAAGGAGAATCTGGCAAGATCAGGCAAGAGCTTTGGTTCCATCAGATAGTCGGGCCTTTGCTGACTTTGGTCGAAAGTGGAGAACCAGCAGTTCAACCCAAAATCAGCCAGATTATCTTGTAGTGTGTACCCCGCTTTAATGGAGATAAATCAGAGTGGGGATTTAACACAGGGAGTGCGCCTGAGCTGTTGGGGGGATTTGGTGCCTTTCCTAAAGGGGACATCTGCACCACTGTGGAAGTGACCTGGAATCTCTCCATCAACCAAACCATAATTCCATAAATGTCCCCATGTAGGCACAGGGCAGCCAAGATTAGAGCCATATTTAATGGCTAATGGACCTGAATTGAGCTGGTAAAGTGTTTTTCTAGTCTGTTTGACAGTTTGACTACTCAAAGTGCTTTTACGCCCCAGGTAACGCCGACCCATTCACACCCATTCACATTCTGGTGGCAGAGGTTGCTGTGTAAAGTGGTCATCAGAATGAACATATACAATTCATACACATTCATATGCCATTGACAAAGTAGCGAGGCAACTGGGAGTTAAGCGTCTTCTCCAAGGACACATTGGACCCCTGACCTTCCAGTTGAGAGGCAACAGACCATTACCGTGTTTCAAGCAATATTTTGTGTTTGCTGCAGGACTTTATCCAGAGTGGATACACCACGGACACCTGCACAGCAGACCCACGGCCCCACCAGCACCCACACTTGCCTCCACGTTCCCACTCCCCCCTACCCATCACCTCTGAGCGAGCTTGGGCAGGGACGCCGTCCCTCGAGGGCCCCCGGAGCCTACCGGACTCAGGCCGAGCCTCGCCCTGCATGAGAGACGGCGAGTTCTTCCTACGTCTCCTGCAGACCGAGGTGGAGAGGATGGAAGGATGGTGCCAGAACATGGAGAGGGAGGCAGAGGAAAACGAACTGCCAGAGGAGGGTGAGCTCGCGAAGGATTGCAGATAAAGTTTAGTGATTTAGAGTAATTCTCGGATCTCTAAAAGTACTTATGTGCTGTTTCTCTCTAGTTCTTGAGTTGATTCGAAACGCAGTTGGCAGTGCACAGATGCTCATGTCTCAGAAAGTCCAGCAGTTCTTCCGCCTCTGCCAACAAAGTGTGGTGAGTTTGTGCAATGGATGAAAAATCATGACATAAATCATTACATACGGTGCATGATTTAACCGAGATTCAGTATCGCTTAAGGCAAAATTAGCTTGTCTGCAAAAACACAGCTGCAGATTGAGTTATGGTTTTCTTGTTAACGCATGCCTGGATAGTACTTTCTCAATGATCACTGTGTATGACATATTTCCCTGCCTGCCCAGGACCCATCAGCGTACCCCCAGCCCACCTCTCAGGACCTGGCAGGCTTCTGGGATCTGCTGCAGCTCAACATAGAGGATGTCAGGGTCAAGTTTCAGGACCTCCAGAGGGTCAAGGACTCTAATTGGAGGCTGCCACCTGAAAAGAAGGTGAGATGCCTCAGGGTCCACACAACCCTGGTTTCCCCAAAGCACTCCCCCAGAGCTAAGCTGGCAGTGTGCAGAAGAGTAGCGCAGATGGTCGTGCCCTCCGAGCCTATGCAGGCTGTGAAAATACACAGCTGCAAGAGGAACTGAACTGAGCGGAAAACAAGATGGTGGAGTCTTAAACTGCTAGAAATCTAAACGCATATCAGCATCTTTGCTAAAATAAATAAATAAATAAAAACAAAATGCAGCTGGTCAAACAGAAGAAAACACCTCTTAAATAATTGTGTATAACAATTAGGCTTCTAACTGATCAACTACATTTTTCTTAATAACAACCTAACATTTGTTTCTCTTTTCTTCTTTTCCTTTTCGCATTACCTCTGTTTATCTTGTCTTTGCCATTTCATTTCCTTTTATGTCTTCCGATGCCCACGCATGAGAACATTTTTGCCAATTTTTTTTTTGTTGATTTCTGTCATTATGTCTGATTCCATTTTTCTTCCTTACGTGAATTTTCCATTTTTTTTTGGTTGCCATTTGTTTGTTTCTCCCTATACCTCTTTTTCTTTTTTCTTTTTTTTTTGCATGGGATTCCTTTTGTGCAACCATAAAAACCATTAATTTCCACCACCCAACACGATAAATCCACCGTCCGTTTCCATCTTATCAATGTTTCACCTTGCTGGGCCAGGAGGATAAGAAGCTTCCTCCTCCCTTACCAAAGAAGCCAGCAGGCGGGGTGAGTGGCAGCCTCAGGGCTGATAGCAGCATGGATGGGGGCGCCGGAGGTGGGTCAGGCGGGCTGGTGGTGCCTCGCATCGGTGGACACACCCTCCCCATCAGGGAGAAGTCACTGGACCTCGGGGACCGTCACAGAACAGAAGCGAGGAGGAGGCTGCTGCAGACAAAGCGCACTGCTTCTTTCAGGCAGAACTCGGCCACAGAGAGCGCAGACAGCATTGAGATCTACATCCCTGAAGCCCAGACTCGACTTTGAACTCTGAGACGCCTCTCACTCACCTCCTCATTTATCCTCATCCCCTCGAAGCTCACCTGGGCAACAATCGCAGTCTTTCTCTTAGCCCACTTTTGGAATTTTTGCAGGTCATTGCTGTTTTATCTGCTACCCATCCTCACTATTTCGTCACATAACTACAAATTTACTCCTCATGCTCATTCAAAAAGCAATGACAGCCATTTTAGTGTCTTGAAATTTGGATATTTTACAGACACTGAGGCCTAGACCCTGAAATGGTAGCTAGCAGATACAAGCTATAGACTTTTTTTTTTAAAACTAATTCTCTGCGTTTCTTTTGGGCTGACAACAAACTACAGTCCACTTTTATACCAGTTGTCAGCGGATGTTCACGCAGTAGTAGCATGCCTGTGCGTGTTCACCTAGCACTTCTCCATCACTGAAAATAAAGGGCTTAACAGGAACAAAACCTCTGTGTGAGGAGATAACAGAATCTCCCTCTCGATCTCCTGTTGCCATCTTCTGAATGCGAATCAAGATATACTCACACCCTTTGAAAATGCTAGCAGTAGGGATGATTAAACATGGAGTCATTGGTCACCATAAAGTTAAATGCCCTTAAAGTCGGATGGCCGACACTCCCCAAAGAACATTCCCTGAGCACGGTCACTGACTACAGCTAGCTTCTTTAACCCAGGTGCCATCTGTCCACCCAGTTGAAGAAATAACAAACAAGCTTTCTGCCTCTTTACTTCATTCTTCATGTCCTGCGAGTACCCTCAGCATTCAGCAGCAAGGCTGTTTGAATGTGCAAGTGCTATATGTACAGTATGCACACTCATGTTTGCTTAAAGGAGCTTTTTGTTGGTGAAGCATCACAGCCTTGACAGCAGGAGAGCATCCTAGTCACACACAAAAAAACACAGAGGTTTCTTTTTATGTAGTCTCTCTGAAGTTTCAAGTGTTCAGGGTGGGGTTTCTGGGAGTATTAGAGGAATATATTTCAGTGGCTTTGCTGAGAAGGCCCCTATTTCACTGTGAGACTATAGCAGCACCTAGTGGTCAGATAAAGACCCAAACCAACATAAGTGGTTTGTAAGAGTTTTGTCAGCATGCCCTGATGAAACAGCCCTGAAAGAAGATCTTTATTTTATAGAAATGTTTTGCAATCCTCGATTCGGATTGGACTTTTCCGCCTTGAAAAGCTTGAAGAAGTGGATCACGAAGGCAAAGGAAGGACAGCTGCCAAACTCTTCTGCCTAACTTGAAGTAAATCCTCTCAATTTCACACACCGCTGAGAAAGAAAAACAAAAAAAGGAGTCATCAATGTAGTTTCCCGCTAACCCCCCTTCCAAAGAGTCATCAAAGAGAGGAAACCATCAGGTGTGAAATGATGGAAAAGAAGCAACTTCATAGAGTTTGTTAATTCGACTGAGATGGAGTTACACTTGTTGTGAATGGAATGACACAGTTTTGTTTGCTGCACCATATTTTCCTTTCACACCTTTATTTTTTGATATCATCCTCCACTGGAGAGTAGCATGTTTTAAAAGCTTTGAAGGGGTCTCATTGACACATTTATGTCAGAGCACATAGTTCCAATCAAAGTCTTTGTATGGATGGTGCATATATTCTTTGTGTCACAAAGTACGAATAGTGAAGGCCAATGAATACAAAAAGAGTCCAAATCAGCTGTTTTAAAGACAAGAATATAATAATCTTTAAGCATGACCTGTTTTTTTCTAACACTTATTTTAAAGGGAGATGTATATTTTATAATATAATCTACATTTCTAGATTAGTAGAGACTACTGAGTACAGTATATGTACAAAAAAAGTATATATCAAATGTGAAATACTAAAGTATTATTATGATAGATTATAGCATTGTGTGATACTACAGCTGTGTGGCATATCCAGACTCAGTACATGTGGAAAAAATGATCATTTTCAGTTAGTGAGTGCTGGGTCAGGTTCACAGGGTAAATAACTGGCAAGAGTGATGATTGCTGAGTGTGATCCTCCTTAGGCCTACTGTATATCTGTGTGTGGTTCTGACATATACTGCTGTAACCCCCTCCCTGTAGTTCCTCTTTAGAACCTACTCCATGTGCCTAACCAGCTATATGTGGAGGGTTTCTTCGAACACATTATGGCATATAGAAAGATATGTAAATAGACAAGTACAAAATCTGCAGAGAATATTGTTTTAATTGTACTGACATGCCATCCTTTGTCTCACTCGCTCACTCACACTCGCAATACAAACATGACTGGAGGAATTTGTTGGTGTTAATACTGCATGTTTTATGTCAAACTCCTTTGAAAAATTTAAGCAAAATCTCGTTTTTGACTGAGAAAAAGGAAAATACATTTTGTAGCTTACAAAACTTTTTTGTGATCGAGAAAAAAAAAATTGAAAATTTTACAGTGCAGTTATTTCAACAAGTCACTTCTTTGTACAAAGATTCTATCCTTTGAGGACAATGATACTGGCAACTTTGAAACAGCAATCAATGTTTAGATTTGAAACTCAACTGATCACTTTAACCATTTCTGTGTGAAACAAGCTGCCCTTAAGATGATAAAAAAAGGGCTGAGAATCAGGCGTCATGTTTTATTCATTTGTAGCAGTGTGGGCTGCAGAGCAGCCTCTTTTATCCCCTCATCCTTCTCTTGTGTCACCCTCAAACTTGACAGCATCTTGACGGTTTGTAACACAACCTTCATCTAACAAAGCACAAAGACCTGCTTTTATACTGTTACTCCACTGTGAAGGCCTCTCAACTCCACCCTCACAATCCTCAAACCTACACGCAGAGGGATGGCAGGCTCTTTCCATTAACAACTCCAGGCCTTGAGGGACTCCACGGATCAAAGAGGCTTGGACCTTTATCCAACGTAGCAACTTCTTCTTCTCCAATTCTTCTGACTTTCTCCTCTATACTTTTAATCACAAGTTGAGGTATTAGCCAGCCACCTTGCCTTGAAACAGGTGTATTACAAACACACTTAGGTGGAACAAGTTCCATGCTATTAGGTCCGTATTTGACCCAACCATCTGTATTTTTTTCATAGTCTAATTACTGGAGCTTCAGCTTATAATTGCACCTGGCAGTACAGTTGTACGAACATATTCAGAGCACTCACCGCCACACTAGACAAACTACTTTATGAACCCTTCCACCTCTTTCTAGAAGTGCAAAAACCCCTCATGGACAGCCAGACGGACAAGTCAACTCTCGAGTACCTCAGTTTCTAGAAGCAGTGACTCCAACCCTGAACCGGGCCTCTGTCCTCAGGGGATTCTCATAACTCTACACAAGCGACAGACCCTGGAGATACAGGACGGGATCAGTCCAGCAGGAATGTTGTCTGTATTCTCTCTGAATGAAACTAGAAATAATTTTTGCCGTCATTCTCTTGTAGCCATTTTCTGAGAAACTGGAGATTAGCAGTGAAAGAAGCGGTGGTGGAGGAGCTCAAAGAGCCAATGTGTGTGTGTGTGTGTGTGCTGTATACTGTATCTGCAACAGAGGGATGCTGTAGCAGCACATCTGAGTTTGAGTTATAGAAACATTTTAGAGAGGCAGAGCTGCTCTGGTGGAACGTAGTGGCGGTACTTAAACTCAGTTGTAGGAGTAAAGGAGCTGCTGATATCTCTGGTTAAGTAACTAGAGCTATTAACTGTGGCTGCTTCTTCTTCTTCTTCTTCTTCCATTTCTCCCAGCAAATGAAGACACATTTGAGCAGTCCAAAAACACAGAGAACAACCCTGTGTTATAGACTAACTTTTCCACAATGAACATTGTAAGTCAACCAGTGTATTCAGAAACATTGACGTAAGCTTAATACAACTCTGATACATCATTCGAAGAAACTGATTTTAGCAAAAAGAAAAAATAATGAATCATTATTTCCTGGGAAGGTTCTGTGCACTGTTAGTTCATTGAAACCTGTTGCTGTTATCAATCAAAATGTTGTATACGTAGCACCATCTCACAACAAAAGTAATTAGACTGTCCTCTTTGTAGTCTGTTTCTGCAGAGACTTAACAATGCAATACGAGCAAGCGCTTTGCAACATTGGCAAGGAAAGCTTCCTATGACAGAAACAGATTTATATCAAACAGTGATCTACCACCAGAGGTTATAGGTTGAGAAGGTGGGATATAACATAATAACCAAAAATGACATATAACGTTGACCTACATTTGCAATGCCAATAATTATCAGAGCCCAACCGATTAATCTGCCAGCCGATAATATTGGCCAATATTAGCTTATCCAGTGACTATCGGCCATTTTATTGCAGATATGCACCGTTATTACTAGATCTATTCATCGGTCAGAAGTCATTTAATTCGTGTCTCATTGTATTTCACTAGCGGTTCTATGTCACCAGCAGAGGGCGCTATATGGATTACAACAAGCATTATAACTCTCCAGAGTGTGAAGCGGTGATACACGTACATGCCCAGTTACTTTCTAGTTGAGTGACCATCTTATCTTCATTATAAATCTTTTCCACAAGTGTTTGATTCACATTCCAGCAATCAACCAATAAATGTGTCTATCTATATCTACTTATCTCTACAGGTAACACAGCTCAAAGAAAGATATCGGCAGATATATCGGTATCTATTTTTTTCCCTCCCTAATATCGATTTTGCTATCGGCGCCAAAAATCACATATCGGTCGGGCCGTAATAATTATAGCAGAGATATAACTAGTAATAGCAGTAACAACTATAATAATGATAGTTTAAAAAGTACTGATATTAATATTGGTAGCAGTGGGAGTCTGGCAGGTCCACAGCAGAGTCACCACCAACACTTTAAACAACATTCGTATAGAAAATGAGTTCTATCACATGGATCGGCTGTTCCTGAAAAAACATAAAAAGTATCCCAAAAAAGGGAATCTGAAACTTCAATATTATGCCTTTTAATTCTTAAGTTGTACTTCCCTCTGCCTCCAGAGCAGCTCAAACCTCAGCGATGAGTCACTGGAATTCTTATATTTGCCTTTGTATGTGTTGTATGTGTGTGTCTGTGTGTGTTTGTGTCTGAGTGCTTGTGTACTTACACTGTAATGTTGCTTTACAGTACACACACAGGTAACCATGTGGGTGAGAGACAACTGAGCAATTACTGTGTAATTAGCAAAATAATACCCTGCCATTCTGGAGTTTACAAAAGTGTAAATACCCGTTGCCAATGGACATTGCTCTTCTCAATATTACATATATTGTTACTACAATATGATTATATTAGTATGATTAATTGTGATGAAAAGGATCGATTATTTCCATCACTCTCATTGTTA